AGCCGCTCGTTGGCATACACCCTCAAGGGAGGCTGCCTTGCTAACACGTCCAAACTCTTAACCATGGTACCCCTTTGACACCCAAAGCTTGACCAATAGTTGAACATAGATCTCGACCCTAGGTTGCGAACTTTTTTACATCATCGTGCCTAAATGCTATGTGGTTGTTTGGTGCTAACCCTCATGTGTTTTCTCTTTTTGTTTAACCCATGACCGAGGGTTTTTATTCTCACATAGTAATTAGTACGAACTTAAAATCGATTAAAATCTGAAAAAATCACAAAATTGACCTAGAACTGCGCACCGTGTCACGACATGTTCTGTCGTGTCACGGTGAACAGTGCCGTGACACGGGAAAGTCTACCGTTTGACGGTAGACTGCACCGTGTCACGACAGTCTGCACCGTGACACGGTGCCCAGGAAAGTGTCCTGTCAGTCTTTTTCTCGATTTTTGTGCGAATGCCGTGTCCAGTTTTGAGTCGTGTCTAGCTATACGGTCTAAACACGCGTCCATAACCTCACTTAATCACTCACATGTCGTGTTCACACACTTTTTTTGCTTTAAGTCGTGCACCACTTTTTTGACCGTTTTTTAGGGAAGTCTTGTTTTTGTGTTTAAAAAAAAAAAAAGGGAATTGCCGCGACACGGGATACCCTACCGTGTCACGGTACTGTTCTCCGTGAAACGGTGGGCCTGAACGAAGAAAAAAGGAAAGAGAGACTCCCGTGACACGAGAATTTATCCCGTCTGACGGAAGAAATGTCCCGTGCCACGTCACCCCCTGGCAAAAAAAAAAAAATAATGTCAAAATATTCTCGTGACACGGGATGTTATCCCGTCTGGTGGGAGAAGTTCCCGTGTCACGACAAAGAAAAAATAAAAAGAAAAAAAAAGTGTTGAAAATAAACTTGCAAAATTCAAAATTTTCAAATTCACAATTACACATCTTGGGGGCTTCTCTCGGGTCTTGAGCCTTTTACCTCTTTCTTCCTTAAACCATCAACTTAACCACATTACAACCCTTGAAAGACCTCTTTGAGGTGTACATACACTTGTGTAAAGTTCGGTTAGAGCTACGTTCGGCCTGATTCCTAACGGATACGTAGGCAACCTCATGTCGAGGTGCGACCACATTCATATTCATATCCATGCATGATCGAGTCAAAGAATATCCAATGTTTATCCCTACCCATTTAGAGCTAGACTTGGGGCTTGAACCCAAATCACATTAGCTTACCTAGCCCGAAGAGTCATCATCTTTAACTCTTCTCACATCTCTTTCCATCGCTATAACCCTTGCAGCCAGCCTTAGTATCACATTCACACACTTCACTCACACATCCATATCCATATCAATCATCCTTCCCTTTAATTGCCCTTTATCATGAAATCTTGTTTCAACACTGTGCATGTTTCATCATATTTAAAGACAACATTCAGTAGAAGAAACATTGTATGCTTGCTTAGCTTCCTGACCTGAGCAATGTTCATTGTTTCGCATAATGTGCTAAGAAACATTTATATATCAATGATTTTTAATCATACAAAGCATATCGTGCTTAGCTCCCTGACCTAAGCAACGCTCATTATGCAATAATCATTATACGTGCTTAGCTTCCAGACCTAAGTGACGTTCAAAATCGCTTCTTTACACCATATATGATGCTTAGCTCCATGACTTAAGTTCATTCATCTATTGTGTCACATGACGTAATTGTCCTTAGCCTCCTGGCCTAAGAACATGCATCATACATTATTTTCAGGACAAACAATTCAATCCATACGAATCATTTCGTCTTGCTCAAGGAGGAAGTTCAAAACTTCTCTCCCTTTTCATTATTTTATTTTGGGGAAGTTCAAAAAACTTTTTCCACGTTTTCATCGAAGGAAGTTCGAAAATAAAAGTTCAGTTTTCACATCTTTCTTTTTCGGGAGAAAGTCGGTACCCTCCACTCATGACAAAAATTGACGGAAAATTTTTGCTTTTGCATCTTCGTTTGCTTGTGTCTGCACACACACATATACACACACACACACACACTCACAAGTCATACACATGTCATGTCACATCAAGTCAAACTTGGTCAAGTTAGTGGTCAAGTCAATCACAGTATATACGAGTCCATTGGCAAATTTATTTTTGCAGGTCCATCTACAGCCCACGTCCGAGGACAAGCGGACCATCTACAGCCCACGTCGGGGGACAAGAGGACCACCATCATTTCATGACGCAAGGTTCTCGATACACAGAGACTTGCAATCTCATCATCTTTCGACTTTCCTCAAGCATGGAAAGTATTATCCGGTGGATTTTTCTTCAAGTATAGAAAACTGCCAAATCGGCTTTCCTCAAGCATGGAAGGCATTATGGGTGGAATTCTTCAAGCATAGAATGACACCATATTCATCAGTCGGCTTTTCTCAGTCTTGGAAAGTGTTATCGGTGGATTTTTCTTCAAGTATAGAAAACCGCCAAGTCGGCTTTCCTCAGGCTTGGAAAGCGTTATCGGTGGATTTTTCTTCAAGTATAGAAAACCGCCAAGTCGGCTTTCCTCAGGCTTGGAAAGCGTTATCGGTGGATTTTTCTTCAAGTATAGAAAACCACAAAATTCCTTTGTCGGCTTTCCTCAAGCATGGAAGGCATTATCGGTGAAATTCTTCAAGCATAGAATGACACCAAATTTGTTCGTCGACTTTCTTCAGGCATGGAAAGCGTCATCCGGTAACTTTCTTCAGGCTTAGAAAACTACCAAACTCTTCAGTCGGCTTTCCTCAAGCATGGAAAGCGTTTCAACAAATGTCACTCGGTAGATTCCTTCAAGCTTAGGAAGCTGCCAAATTCGTTTGTCACCGACACACTAGTGCCAGATACGTATTCTATCCCGTTACTCTTTTATCTGTGGAATTAACATTTTTCTGCAGGTATCGGCGTATACAGAATGATTTAGGATCGCAGAACGTCTTTAATCATTCTCCATCCCTGTCGGCTACTTTGACTATCGTTTTCGAAACTGACGTTTCTGCAAACTCAGTCAAAGTGGGGGCTTCTGTAGACACCTAAAAATGTCTCCCCAAAACCAAACCCGATGATAAATAACCTTTCACCGCCACTATTGGTCGGGTTTAGTATTTAATCCCGAGAGTGCTTAAAAAAATCGTATTTTATTAAATTCATACTTTTGAAAAGTCCACGGATTAGTCTTGATGTTTTGTAAAAGCATAGTTTTAATTTTAGCCCAAGCTAATTGATTAATTTTAAGCCCAAACCTTTTTATTTTATTATTTTATTATTTATTTTTGGCCCAAACATTTTATTTATTTTTATTTTATTATTTTCTTATTTTAGCCCGAATAATAAAAGTCAGAAAAAAGCCCGAAATTATCAATCGGCACTTAAAAAGCCGAAAGAAATTAGGGTTAAAAATGAATTTAGACGGAAAAATGGACTGGAAGTGACCGTGTCACGGTACAGTCTGAGCGTGTCACGGGAACCCTTCCCGTCTGACGGTAGGACTTCCCGTGACACGGGAGGTCTGCCGTGACACGGGATGTTCCGTGTCCTTTCCGCGTAAACCCTTAACGCGTTTTTCATTCCGTTTTCTGAAAATTTCCCGCGTCACTCCAAAACTGTACCGTGTCACGGGAAAGTGTACCGTCTGACGGTACAGTCTGACCATGTCACGGTACAGTCTGACCGTGTCACGGGATACGTTTTTAGGGTTTTTATCATTTTAGGGTTCTGTGTGCTCCCTCAGCACATTTTCCCTATAAATACCCCCTCATTTCTGATGTACGGGGCAACCAGAATTTTATTATTCTTATTTTCTCTCTTCTATGCTATTAACCTAAACACTAGCCTACCCTTTTTACTTCAAAATTCCTTCTTCATGCACTCAAAGGTGTCCATATTTTATTCGAGGTTCTGTCCTTAAGCCAAGGCGTGAAAGGTAGAATTTTTTTGAGGGTTTGGCCCCAAAATCAACCTTATTTTATTTAATTTGATTTAGTTATTGTTTTATTATTTCCTTAAAGTTACTAACTCGTTTATTATTTTGTAGTTGCAAGAAAACAGATTCAAAGTAAGGATCATGCTCCTTTTATTTTTATTATTTTTCTAACGATTTTATGTTGTTGGAATTGTGATTAAATTGGTTTTAATATTAATGTTATTCTATTTTTTTTATTGATCACCATATTGCATGTTTAAAGGGAATATGTAATTGAAAATCACGCCTAATAAGATAATTTGGACAACCGGTTTAGGATCCTTTTTAATCTTATTGTTAATATAAGTGATCACCAAATTTTTAGAATTATGTGTGCATTAATTTTAAACCAATTTAGCTAAATAATAGTTTGGAGCGAATTGAATATTTTGTTTGTATGCCTTTGAGATCACAGGAATGCTTTTCAATATAAGAATCGAGTAGAGGCCAATACGGGCGAATGTGACTCCATGACTCACTTCGTACCATCATCCCCGATCCTCCTTTCGTGGTTCCGAACCATATGGAGTTAGTAATCTCATGGATTATGAATGGGGTGTAACCTTCACGGGTCAATCGTTGTTGCCTTCGTTGTCCCTTCACTACTACAAAAAAGGCCAAAGAGACCCGTTAGAAATAGCATAAGAGACCTGTTTAGAGTAGGTCTCTAGCTCACAGGTCTCTTTGCTAAAGAAAACTGTTCAACTGAACAGGTCTCTTTGTTATCAATAAGAGACCTGTTATGTAAGGTAACAGGTCTCTTCGCATGTATATACATCATATATTTACGAAGGGGAAGAGACCTGTTATTTCATACAACAGGTCTCTTTGATAGCCATAAAGAGACCTGTTTTGTCAGGTAACGAGTCTCTTTATAATTTTTCTTTTTTAAAAAAAAATTATAAATTGTTGATATATATTTATTATTTTGTAATTATTCTACTAAAATTGAAAATTACAAAACCAAAAAATTAGATAAATTTACATAAACTTATATAATTATGGAATTTACTAGTAGTAACATTTACAAGTATATACGAACAATAATTTACATGTATAAGAGAATTTATGGAACAAGTAAATAATAACTAATGGAAATAATAATTTACAATAAGTTATCAAAACTAACAACATTCCCACCAATTTTATACGGCAAGTGAATCCAACCATCTCTTTGGTAATTTCTTTAGCCCTCCATATATCAGCTAAGCAAGTTTCTTGAATTGGTCATCTGGCCTCTAAAAACCTGTATACCATTAAGAGAATCAATAAAAAAAAGTTTCAAGGGTTATAATTCAGGTTAAAAACTAGACATCAACAACATAAACACAACCTTACACGATTTAAACATCAATAACAAAATTAAGGGGATAAAATCATATATTATCCCATATGCAATCTTCACCACATAAATCAACTCTTGGGCACCTAAATCATCTGTTATACAAAATAAACCAAGAAAAATCATCAATATTAAAGTAATTAATTGACCTAAACTGCAAACTGCAAAGGAAATAATATACTTAATTTAACATTAAAAAAAAAAAGAAAAACCCAAGAAAATACCATCAATAACAAACCCCTATAAACCAACCCTAAGCCTTAACCTCTAACAAACCGCCCACACCCCCGTGAAAACCACCCCAACCCCCGTATAAACTACACTCACCCCCGTGAAAACCATCCCGACCTCATAATAAACCGACCCAACCTCGTCATAAACCGACCCAACCCCGTTAAAAACCAACCCCTAGTGAAAAAACCCCAATCCCGTAAGACACTAGCCACCAACAAAAAAACCAAAAACTACCCAATCTAAACTATAGCAACCTATTTTTTACAAAAGAAACAAACAAACCATAAACCATTGCCATAGAAACACCTTGTCAACAACCCAAAAACTTTTCAGAATTAAATTGATATGGAAACATACCTTTTTAAGACTAATTCAATTGTAGAATTATTTAGGCAAATTTGACCATAAGACTCCAGATCTGGAGTATTTATGGTCATAATAGACGTTGAAAGCCTCAAACTTTGAGTTAAAAGAAGAAGGCAACGCCGGTGTTGAAGGAAGATGCAGCGTCGTTAATGAGGAGGAGTTAATTGCTTCGTGAGAAATAAAAATGAGAAATGAGATGAGACAAGTGATGAGGTGAAAGAGAAAGAGACGTATAAAGGGGAACAAGAAAAGAGATTCATATGAACATGACTAATAATGAGCTGTATAAATGAATAAGAATTAAAAAGGGAATTTTTTTTCTTAAAAAAAAACAAAGAAAAGGCGAGAGTACGCTAGTTGTGGTGGGTCCTTAATCCTTATGCGCATATATAAGAGACCCGTTCAGCAAACCAACAGGTCTCTTATTTTCGTCCCAAAATCTCATGTGGGTCCTTTGACATTTTAGAGACCTGTTATCTCTAATATTAGGTCTCTTATATCAAAGAGACCTGCTGTATTAACCAACAGGTCTCTTATTATAGGTCTCTTTTGCCATTTTTGTAGTAGTGCTTATTCGTGGTTGCCTTTTATGATCCGTGAACGGTTTACAAGTTCCTTATAAACTTGTTGGCGGCTCCCTACTTTATTTGTCCCTAATTGTAATGTCAATTCCCACTTCCTATGAGTGCCAAGCATATTCACAACATGCTTTTAACGTAGGCGCACTTCAAACGACGCTTACAACTCCAAATACACATTTTTTAGGATTCAATCTCAGATTGTATTTCCTAATTCTGTCAAATAATGATTTCAAAGCATCAACGTGCGTCTCACGATCATGACCAATAACCAATTGGTTTTAAACCAATTCCTCTTCGATATTATGAGGAATTGATTTTTAATATGAGGAATTGGTTTTAAACGATCATCAACGTGCGTCTCACGATCATGACCAATATTTCAATAACCAATAAAACCAATACCAATCATTTAAAACCAATTCCTCATATTAAAAACCAATTCCTCATAATAAACCAATAAAACTAATTCCTCTCCCAAGTGTGCACACCCCCAAGCTAGTCTCCTTATATTACAAGGCTATTCTTGAGGAAAGACCCGGTCATACAAAGTCAAGGCCTTATCAATAAACCAAATCCGCATAGTGGGATTACTAACATGCTTATAAAGCATTAATAATAATAATTCAATGTTTCAATAAATCCTCTTTTAAATCCAATAATTCAACCTTTAATGAAAACAATCCAAACTCCTTTTTAATAAATTCAACATGCATTTAAAATCAATCCCTTTTTAAACATGAATAATAAATCAATTAATCAAAACATGTTACGAAAATCAATACTCCAATTCAATTATTAAAACCAATCTTTTAAACATGCTTTTATTTCATAAACTATAATTCAAGTCAATTTAATTCAAGCAACATAAATCATTCAAACATGTTCATTCAAATCGATCACTTTCAAGGTATCTAGCCACCTAACGTACCTTGATTAGCCAAAAAATCACTTCAAAAGAACTCTCAAGTAACTTGATCAAAAACACACTACAAATAAATATAACCTTAATTAATATAAGGTTATCAAATAATCACAAACAATTAAATTAAACCCTCCCAACTATATGTACATGAACCTTTTAAATTAATTCAACAAAAACATCATTATAATATGATTTTATATAATTAAAACTTCTCATAATAACTTTATATTAATCTCCCATAATAATAATAATAATTGAATAAGAGAAAAGGAGAAGAAGTGTAAGAAACCAAGGAGAAAGAAGAATTGGATTTGCGTTGGAAAAAGGAGGCAGAATTTGCAGAGGCTATAACTCCTTTGTTATACCTTCTAATTGGGTGATTCTTGAACCTAACCTCAAGGATTTGTTGAGAGGAAAAATTTTCTGTGAAACATTAATTCCCCAATACTGACCATAAGTTCCCGAAAATTGGCTTCAAAGATAAACGGGATAATTTGTGTAAAATTAAGGAGAAGAAAAGAAGAGAATTGGTGTGAAGAATGTGAGAGGTATGAAGGGGTATTTATAGGCTAGCTCATGCAAGAATTAGGGTAGAAAAATGTATGAAGAATTATGGTAATTAGGGTTTAAGGGATTACTTGGAGAAGTGAGTAAAGATTTAAGGAAAGTTTTTATATTGAAGAGATTGTGTATAATTGAATATGGAAGGTATGTATGTCATGAAAAATATTAAGGAAATTGGAATACTTGGGGAATAATTAAGAAAAATGAATGGTAAGAAAATATAATGATTATATATTAAAAAGGTGGAGAATTAGAATTAAGAAAAATAGGAGATTTTAACGAGATAATTAAAAATACAAATTACCAAAATATTTTTCCCAAAATCTACATGGGATGGCCGAAATTTTTGAGCTTTCCTAAGTTCATATTTTCGGCCCTCCTATTTAGTATTTAGGAAATTATTTTGCCAGTTTTAAGGAATTAAAATAATTGTGTAAATAATATTTATTGTAATACATAATTAAATAATAAAATACCAAATATTCACCAAATAATTTAACTAATAAAATCAGATTTTCACATAGGAAAATCCGAAATTTATTATTCAAATCAATGGGATTTTCGGACTTACTAAAATAATAATAAAATATAGCTTTTGCCTTTATTAAAATATCCAAAATATATAAATAATCCGATTTTTAAAATAGGATAAATGGATAATAAATCTTATCCAAAATAATAATTTGTTTTTAAAATACTCTTGGCGCCAAAATTCAAATATCATTTTGGCTCCAACATTTAAATAGTAAGTTGAATTACTAAAATACCCTTTTCAGAAAATAATAATTAATTAACCCGAAAAATGACCCGAAACCCGACGCATGACCCAAAACCTGAAATTAACCCAACCCAATCCATACCCGACTCGAAAATGGAGTTGACCTAATGTTGACCAAACACCCGAACTCAGCTGACCCGAAGTTGTCCAACTTGAATTTGACCCGAAGAGTTTGACCCGAAGTGTTTAACCAACTCGAACATGATCCAAAGTGTTTAACTTAGTGTTTAACCAACTCGAATGTGATCATACACCAAACTGGGGATGGGTCAAGTCTCCTACTTCATTTGCCTCACTAACATCCGGCCTATGTTGATCGAATTATAACCGGCCTTACATCTTATTAGATTTGGTACAAGTTTAGATGAGTTTAATAACCGGTCAAATTACATTCAAGTAAAGTCAATAATTAATGGTTATAAAATTAACTCATTCTAGAATTTTAGTCAAATTTGGTTCAAGTCAATAATTTTACGGTTTATAATCAAGTTGAAATCACCAAGTCAATAATATATGGGTTACATTTGCGTCGGGTCATTTACACGTCAATTCATGTTCAAAATCGGTATCAAATACTCTTGTCAACTCGGGTTCCATGAAAAATGTGACAAGTATTTTAGAACAAAAAATGGATATGGTAACAAGTATTCTAGGACAAAAGGAATAATACAAGAAATTATCTTTAATTTTGTAAGTAAGAACATTATAGAAATCAAATAATTCATATGATATAAAATATGATAAAAGTAAATGAAATATTTCATAAAGTTAAAGTATAATAGTTAAAAGTAAACAAAGTAAACAAACTAAACTTAAGTTTTGTAGTACAATTACTTATAGTAAATGTAAAAATATTACAATAATAAAAATAATAAAAAACATTTGTTCATTAAATCTTGATCTTGATCTTCCAAAACATCTTCTAATTTTCAAGTATTAAAATAACTGCACAAAAATAAACATCAGTTATTTCTCACAAGTTAAAGTAAATAAATTATAATGTAAAGTAAATAAATTACAACTTAAAGTAGATAGAAAACGTAAAGAGGTAAAATACCAAATAAAAAAAAATACCAAGTATAATAACACCTGCACAAAATAAAAAGTAAATAAAGTTATTGTTAAAGTAAATAAATAGAAGTTTAAAGTAAATGGAACACACTTAAAAGTAAAATACATGAAAGACTACTTGTTTGGACAATTTCTATTGTCATGGGAAACACCGGATTGCCCACAAGCTCTACAAATTCTACCTTTTTAAGATTTTTCTTCAGTAGTTATTTCTTTTTCACTTTTCAACCTTTTTGAACTTCTGGCAGAACCTTTATTAAGACATTGATTTGGAGGCAAGACATTTACATCTACTTCATTTGACCCAACCAAAACCTGAATATCAGCATCTTTCACCTCTTTTGAACTGGTGCATTTTCAGGGTTATTGTTTGATATCATCTGCTCCTCAAATGAAGATAATGTCCTAATAAGCTCAGATAAATCATCCTTAGATTGGTCAGTTAAACTCACACAACTGAAAATCTTGGACCATACATCACTGACCAATTGCTTCTTCTTATAATACTTAGAAGCATCATCTAGAGCAACATCTATGACAGAAGCTTTCTTCATAACATCTTTTCACCAACGATTCAAGGTATAAGAATCAGGAATTTCACGTATACACTTGCCTTTCATAACAAACAAATGTGTCTACATAAAACACCTTGACTCTCAAACATTCTACACGTACAACTTGACTCATATGTTGCCAAGTCAAAATTTACATCAAAATTTTTCCTTTTCTTATGATCAACAATAACAGAAAACTTCACACCATCTCCATACAGAGAACTACAACTTTCAACACCACATGAAAATCAGGGTCCCTGGCATTCTTCTTGAAAATCATAAAATATGGAACGAGTATAAACAACAGCAGCATGCTTTTCCAAGTGTAAATTAGTAACCAATTGAGGCTCAAGTTTATTAAGCCTGTACAACTTATCCTGTTCATGCCTTTAAGCATCAAGAGCAGTTTCATAACGGATAAAGAATTCAACACAGGTCACATGAGGGTTTGTAAAATTACAAAAGAAACCGTTTTCACCTTCAGACCTAGGTGTAGAACGCAGTAACCCACCCATAAATAAGTCCCTTAAATATGCAGGAATCCAAAGATGTTTAATCTTGAACATGTATGCAAACCACTCATGATCAACAAGGTTAAACTCCTCCATAACACTATTCCAGCCATCAACAAATACATGAGGATCAATCTCTCTATCCCAAACTACTGCACTTAGCTTTTTCAGGAAATCAGTTTCATTACAAAAAGCAGTTCCAACCTTTTCAGGTACCTTCCTCATTATGTGCCACATACATAGTCTATGTTTAGTCTTGGTAAAAACCTTTTCTATGGCAATACCCATTGCAGGATCTTGATCAGTGATAATACAAGAGGGTTCTCTTCCCATACACTTCAAAAAAGTTTGAAATAGCCACACAAAGAATCTATGTCTTCTTTAGATAATAGAGCAGCACAAAATGTAACACATCTCTTGTGATTATCAACACCAGTAAGAAAACAGAAAACCAATGAATATTTATTTGTAGCGTAGAATCAAAAGATAAAGAGTCCCCAGCCCAAAAGACACGGGTCAAATGCCTACTTTCATAAACACAGTATTCAAAATAATAACCCCCTTTACTGGTTTTCACTTTTTGTTCAAGGTTCAGAACAAACATTGCACCATCAGCATTAGAGATATAAACTTTTAAGTCCCTAGAAAAATTTTTGAAATCATTTTTACTGCCCCTGACATTTTGAAACCCACCACAAAGTTCTTTCATTATCCTATAAGACATAACAACCCATATATTTAACTTCGAGTTGTCAAAAATAAACTTCTTATGAGCAAAATTTAAACCAACTTCATGTTTAGTAACCTGCCTAGTAATAGGTGTAGAAAAAGGGTGAGAATGAGATTCATAAAAACAATACACCATATACTTCCCACCGGTACAAAACCTAAATTTTATCTTAGCAGGACAACCAACTCTCTTCACAGTCTTTCTCTTCAAACAAGCACCTTCAACTTGTTTATCAGATTTCTTATTATTTGTCACATACCCTTCTTTGCTACATAATAAATATTTAATTATAGTAACTCCTTTTACTAGTAGGATCATTCTTATTCTTTTGTGATTTAGTAGTACTAGAACAAACTTTAAATCCACACTCATTAGCATATTTGTAATAAAAGGCAATACCATCTTGAAAGGGTATCAAATATCATTCTAACAAAAGGTTTGTTTTTAGAAGAACAACATGGCATATACTCTTTATCACCTCCAGAATTATAATATATTTTAGGAAGCAAAGGTTGAGTGGGTGTTTTAAAAATTCTTACATTGTTATCTTCAGTAGTGACAGAAGAAGAACAATGCTTATTCTTTCAGACATGTTCCTGAAAAGTAAATGAATAGAAGGAAAAAGTAAATAAACAATAAATAAAAGTAAATAAACTATAACTAAAAGTAAACAATATTTTTAAAAAATATGCTCTACGCTTTCAGACATGTTCATGAAAAGTAAATAAACAGTAAATAAAAGTAAATAAACTACAACTAAAAGTAAACAATATTGTTAAAAAAATATACTAATAAAAACTATTAGAGATATTGTAGGCATCGTTCGAAGTGCGCCTACGTTAAAGCATGTGTGAATATGCTTGGCACTCTTAGGAAGTGGGAATTGACATATACGATTAGGGACAAGGAAAGTAGGGAGCCGCCAACAAGTTTTAAGGAACTTGTAAACCGTTCACGTATCATAAAAGGCAACCACTATAAAGGGAAAACGATAGGCAACAACGATTGACCCGTGAAGGTTACAACCCATTCATAATCCATGAGATTACTAACTCCATATGGTTCAGAACCGCGAAAGGAGGATCGGGGATGATGGTACGAAGTGAGTCGTGGAGTCACATTCGCTCGTATTGGCCTCTACTCGATTCTTATAGTGAAAAGGGATTCCTGCGATCTCAAAGGCATATAAACAAAATATTCAATTTGCTCCAAACTATTATTATGCTAAATTGGTTGAATATTAATGCAACATATAATTCTAAAATTTGTGATCACTTGATTAACAACAAGATTAAAAAGGAACCTAAGCCGGTTGTCCAAATTATCTTATTAGGCGTGATTTTCAATTACATATTCCCTTTAAACATACAATATGGTGATCATAAAAAATATAATAGAATAAACATCAATATTGGAAGCAATTTAACAATAATAGCGTTAGTCAAATAAAATATAAAATAACCTAATCATGATGCTAGCAATATAAAAATAAAATAAGAGTAATTAAGTGATGAGTTACTCACTTTCCGCACGTTCCTTTAAATTGCTACATCATGAATAAATTGTTAGTAACTTCAATAAAAATAAATCAAATGTAAATTAAATTAAATAAAAATTATATTTAATTTGGTCCAAACCCTCTGTTAATTATACCTTTCACGCATTGGTTTAAGTATATAACTTTGGGTATTGTATGAACTCCTTGGAGTGCTTAGAGGAAGTATTATGGAAGAATAGGGTGACTAATATTTAGGCTAAAGAGGGAGAAAGGAATTATTTTGTGATCAAGCTTATTGATCATTCAAAAAGGGGAGATACGACCTCTATTTATAGATAAAAAAGAAGGGTCGAAAAAACAAGATAAGATTCGAATTAAATCGGAATAAAACTTGATAGAGTGCAGTTTTTGAAGTTTTTGTTTTTATTATATCTTTTGATCCAGAAATTGGAATAAGATAAATAAGATATCTTTGGAAATTTCTTGAAGTCTAATTTCTAACCCAATTGTAATCAGATTAAAATATTTTTTAGAATAAAAGATATGGCCAAAATAGTTAGACGGTGTCAGTTTTGGATAGAGTTTGACATTTTATTCATATCTTTTTCGTTATAGCTCAGTATTGATATTATAATATATCATTGGAAAGATAATTTCAAGGGCTATCCAACCATGTAAGATTTGGATAAAAACTATGAGCCACGAAAATAATATCTGTCTATCTTTGAACGTCTCTCAATTCAAATAGAAATAGGACTTTCAAAAAGAAAAGTTTTATTCAATTTCAAACTCTTTAATCTTATCTTTTTGGAAAGGATAATTAAGATCTTTTAGAAACTTATAAAAGCTTCTAATTAATCCTAATTGGTTTAGGAATGACATTAAATAATTTGGACCCTCCACATGATCATTGGGTCGTAGGTAAGTTGGGCTTAAGTTCGGTTTGGACTCAATTTAATATTTTGACCATAACTTATTTGTTATAACTCGGATTTGGGCTTATAGTATATCGTTGGAAAGATCTTTTAAAAATCCATCCAACTATTCAATCATTCAACCTCGATAATGGACCAAAATAAACTATACTAAACGTTTTTATAAAAAGGACACGAAATGAATGATTTTAAAGGACACGAAATGAATTATTTTGGGTTTAAAGGCACGAAAAGAGGAAAATAAGTTATGGTTTGGGGAAATGGGATAGGATTTGGGTTGGTTTTATGAAATGAAAATATGAATTTAAGCACTCCAAGATTAAATACTCAACCCGACCAATAATGGCGGTGAAAGGTTGTTCATCATCGAGTTTGGTTTTGGGGAGACATTTTTAGGTGTCTACAGAAGCCCCCACTTTGACTGAGTTTGTAGACACGTTAGTTTTGAAACGATAGTCAAAGTAGTCGAGAGGGACGGAGAATTATTTAAGACGTTCTCCGATCCTAAATCACTCTTTATACGCCGATACCTGCAGAAAAATGTTAGTTCCACAGATAAAAGAGTAAAGGAATAGAATGCTTATCTGACACCAGTGTATCGGTGACAAATGAGCTTGGTAGCTTCTTATGATTGAAGGAATCCAACGAATGACGTTTCGCTGAAACACTTTCCATGCCTGAGGAAAGTCGACTGATGTGTTTGGTAGCTTTCTAAGCCTAAAGAAACCTACCGGATGATACTTTCCATGCCTGAGGAAAGTCGACATATGAATTTGGCGTTTTTCTATGCTTGAAGAAATTCACCGAATAACCGTTTCCATGCTTGAGGAAAGCCGACAGAATAATTTGGCGGTTTTTCTATACTTGAAGAAATCCATCGATAATACTTTCCATGCTTGAGGAAAGCCGACTTGGCGGTTTTCTACACTTGAAGAAAAAATCCTCCGATAATGCTTTCCATGCTTGAGGAAAGACTTGTTTGATGATGAGATTGCAAGTCTCTGTGTATTGAGAACCTTGCGCCATGAAACGATGGTGGTTTGATTGTCCCCAAACGTGGTCTGTAGTTGGTTCGCTTGTCCCCGAACATGGGCTGTAAATGGTTCGCTTGTCCCCAAACGTGGGCTGTAGATGGTCCACTTGACCCCGGACGTGGGCTGTAGATGGTCCGCTTGTCCCCGGACGTGGACTGTAGATGGTCCGCTTGTCCCCGGACGTGGGCTGAGATGGTTCGCTTGTCCCCGAACGTGGGCTGTAGATGGTCCGCTTGTCCCCGGACTTGGGCTGTAAATGGTCCGCTTGTCCCCGGACGTGGGAAATAGATGGTCCGCTTGTCCCCGGACGTGGGAAATAGATGGTCCGCTTGTCCCCGGACGTGGGCTGTAATTGAGACCTGCAAAATGAAATTGCCAAGGGACTCGTATAGACTATGATTGAATTGACCAACTAACTTGACCAAGCTTTGACTTGACCAAGCTTTGACTTGACACGACATGACATGTGTATAGCTTGTGGTTGTGTGTGTGTAGTTTGAGTGTATGTGCACACATAAGCAACAAAAAATGCAAAAGCAAAAATTTTCCGTCATTTTTGTCATGAAACGAATGAAAGGTACTGACTTTCTCCCATAAAAGAAAGACGTGAAAAATGAAGTTTTGTTTTCGAACTTCCCTCGATAAAAATTTTGAAAAAGTTTTTGAACTTCCCCAAAAGAAAATATTGAAAGAGGGAAGAAGTTTTGAACTTCCTCCTTATGCAAGACGAAATGAATCGTATGGATTGAATTGATTGTCTTGAAAATAATTTATGCATGATGCATGTTCTTAGGCCAGGAGGCTAAGGACAATTACATCATGCGACACGATAGATGAACTTAGGTCATGGAGCTAAGCATCATATATGGTGTAAAGAAACGATCTTGAACGTCACTTAGGTCTTGAAGCTAAGAAGTGATTATTGAATAATGAACACTGCTTAGGCCAAGGAACTAAGAACGATATGCTTTGTATGATTACAAATAATTGATATATAAATGTTGCTCAGCACATTATGCGATGCATGAAACAATGAACATTGCTCAGTCAGGAAGCTAAGCAAGTATACAACGTTTTTTCTAATGAATGTTGTCTTGAAAATGATGAAGCATGCAAGGTAAGGAAACAAGATTTCATGATAAAAGGTTCCTAAGGGAAAGCTGATATGGCTATGTATGTGTGAAAGACGTGTGTGAAAGTGATACTAGGTGAGGTTGCAATGGCTATGGTGAGGGAAATAGATGTGAGAAGAGTCGAGATGGTGACTCTTTAGGATAGGCAGGCTAAAAGATGTGAGTTCAAGCCCCCAAGTCTAGCTCTAGATGGAGAGGGTCATAGGATTAAGCATTGGATATTCTTTGACTCGATCATGCATATGAATGTGGCCGCACCTCAATGTGAGGTTGCCTACGTATCCGTTAGGAATCAGGCCGAACGTAGCTCTAACCGAACTTTGCACAAGTGTATGTACACCTTAAAGAGGTCTTTTAAGGGTTGTAATATGGTTAAGTT